ACACACACTATACTATGCTATACTTTACTATTTGAGGGGATATTTTTTTTCCCTTTTTTTTTTTTTTTTTTTTTTTTTTCCTGTGCTTCCCCGACTTCAAATCTTGGCGACGTCGCCGCAAATGCTGATCAGCGCGTAGGCGTGCGACCTCTCCTCGCGCATGAATAAGTTGGTGATCTTAAAGGAACATATTAAGTTGGCCCCGATGGCCTTAATGTGAGACTTGGCAATAAATAAAATATCCGATATTATGCTTTGGTAAAAAACATCAAACTGCTTGAGGTTAACATTTTCCTTCACGATGTGCATGGAAATAATTCCAAAGTATTTTTTTATAATAACGTTTGGAAGGATGTTCAGGGGGGTTATTATGATGGAGGAAAAGTTTTGCTCTGTGAAGGAATCAAACAAGTGTTTTCTGTTTTCAAGGATAATGTAATTTTTAAGGTCATTAAAGAGGAACAGCGTGTCGCACAAATTGTACTTATCAGAGGAGAGTTTCGTTTTTTTTGTCGACTTTTTTAAGAATAAGCTAAGTTTATTTCTTTTGTTTCCTTGCGTTTCTTTCTCTTCACCTCGTTGTGTTATAGCATCCTTCGAATGAGTTATCCCTTTCGTCGTCCCACCTTTCTTTGTTTCGCCTTTCCCCCCTGTCCCGCTTCTCCCCAATCCTGCCGATTTGCTTCCATTCCCCCTATGACAAAGGTACAAAGGAAGGTAGAACAATTTGGACATGACGGAGTGAAATATTCCTTTTTTCCTTTTCTGTCCAACAGGGAATTTATCACCCTGGTAATTATTTCTTCTCGTCTTGGTCCCCCCCACCTTATCCCCATTCGTGGAGGGAAATAATTCAAGACAGTTAAAAAACAGCTCCCATTTTTCTATATAATAATTCTCCAAATAATTAAAAAAATGCTTCAACAAATTCTCCTGCATTAATCGGTTCATGCTCTTCAACTCTAGACTTATCGAGCTGTTATTTTTTATCTTAACCAAATGACCAGTTAGCATAATTTCCAGCACGTCCACAGATATGAACGCGAAGTGATACTTTATGCTGTATATACAACAGGGACACATTTTATTTGCAAATATATAAAATATTAGAACGTTATAAAGGTCGTTGAATGCTTTGTTTATTTTTTCATACACTACATCTACCTGTTCATTATTTTCGGTGAACAGGTTTATCCTCTTAATCAGGTAGAGGTAACTCTTTGAGAGATTATTCAAGTATGTGTGTTTTCCTTTATTTTTGTTTCTTTTTTCCGCTTTCTTTCTCTTCCTCTCCTCTTCGTCCGTCAGGGTTCTGCGCTGGGGGGGTGGGTTGTCCCCCCGTGTGGGGACTACAAGCAGGTCAGTAAGGACCTCCCCATGCACGTTGCTACATTGATTCGAAACCAGGTCGATGTACCCATCGGCGGGACGCTCACTAACTTGGTCGCTGCACTGATCGCTGAACAGGTCGTCCAGTTCTTCGCGCTCGTCGCGTTGTTCGTGCAGAGGAGGCGGCCCCATAAAGTTTGCCTGCCTTCGCTCATTCGACTGGTTTTCCTCGGAGTCGCTTTGCCTTTCTCCGCTCGCGATGCACTTGGTGATGGACTCCATTACGAAGTTGTTCGTGAGCCCCCTGGGTAGGCTGTGCCCCATGAGGGCTTCCCCCGTCCTCTCAATGGTGGGGACAGTGGACAGGTTTGCTTCCATCCAACTGGGCGCCGTCTTATTTGCGTGCGCCCAACCATCCCGCTGTTCGTAAAACGTTTCGAACCTTATGCTGGGGAGGAGATCAAGCGTGCACATGTAAAAAAAGTATTTGGGGTCATTCTGAGTTTCCCCTTTCCTAAACTCACAGTCGACGAGGAGGCTGTTTTCAGTCCTGTCTAGCGCGAAGGAGCGATTGCACGTTCTTGGTAACTGCGCGCAAGATTCTGGGAAGGGGATTGGAGGGCATTTCTTGTCCTCACTCAATTTTGTCATGCTGATCGACGTGTCTGTGGGGGTGCCGTAAGGACTATGGTCTTGCTTAGCATTCGAGGGGGACTCCCGTTCAGTCCAACCCCCTCTGTCCATTTGCCTTTTGACATTTCTATGAGGGTCATCCCTTGTATTTTCTTTATTCCCAACTGACAAAGGGTCTCTCGTGGATTCCTTCCGCCCTTTCGATGGGAGTGATTCCATTATTTGTAAATTGCCGCAGTGGGGTGCTTCCTCGTTGGCGGGTGCCTCCTTCTCTCCGTGAGGGCAGTTTCCATTCTGCTTCTCACCACTCTGCTTATGACCATTGTGCTTCTGACCACTTTGAGGAGTGCCCCTAGGGGGAAGGGCGCCACTGTCGTACCTCTTATGCACCAGATAATTATTAACGTCTAAATTAAAAATATAATTATACAGAGCGATGCTGTCTTCGTAAATATTAAGTAGGGTAATATTATCGAGGTGATCTTCCACTTCATAAATGTATCCCTTATTCTTTACTCTTTTGGCTTTTTTTTTTTCTTTTTTTTTTTTAATTCTTTTCCTTTCTTTTATTCCTAATTGGGTGTACTCCATGCCATTATCTCTCTTATGGTGATCACTTTCGTTTGGGCAATTCAATAACTCTTCCTCCTCCTTCAAATAAATTTCCCTCAATCTAAAGTAGTTATTGCATTTGATTTTATCACTTGTCGATTGATCGTCCCCGTTTGTGCTTCGCTTATTGGATTCTACGCTGAGTTGCTCTGAAAAGGCTTGTTCAATCATATCCTTTACACTACAATTCATGAGTTTGTTTTTGTAAGTCTGCGAAGGGTCTAGTCTTCCATCACTATCATGTACCATGTCCCCTTGTATGAACACAGGAGACAAAAGGCACTTGTTTCTACAAAAAAAGGACCGATAATTTAAATTGTCATATATAATCTTCAACTCCCTTGCACTGATGCTCTTGTTCCGGATGTAAAAATTATCCTTGTAGTTCGACTTGATTAAAAATTTGTTTTCTGAATATGTCCCGTACATGCACATGCCCGTCCCGCAACAATAGCCAAATAAATAATTTTGGTTGAAACATAATTTCAAATTATAATCGAAGATGCTGTTGAAGCCATTCACCAGTAACTTGCAAATGATCTGCTTGTGCAGGTTCAACTCCAGGAAGGGAAATATCTCGCTTATCTGCAGGGGGGTGGGAAGCGGTACGTGGGGGGGGGGGGCATATAACTTGCCCGAGAAGGGGGGTTATGGAAGGTGGGTCACACACACCCCGACCACAAGGTCCATCCCGCATGCACAGGTGCCCTGTTAGGGATTTTTTCTCACCTCTGAGGCGAGGTGCTCTCCGTAGTGCTTTTTCAGCGGGTACACGACGAAGGCAGAGATGAGGAAGCCGCTTCGGGGGGGGGGTGAAGTGGGTGAAGCTGATGAAGCGCACGAAGTGACGTGTGATCGCCTCGCCTGCGCACCGCACGGCTCAAGTTGGTCCGCTACGAAAGGCCTACTTTCCAATGACGGCCAGGTTTTGTGGCACACTAGCAGAAGAAATGAGAATCTTCGGCACCGGGGCTTCATTGCAGACTCTGTTTTGGGAGGGAACGACGAAATAAAATGGGGGGAGAGAGAGACAGACAAATTAAGTGCGCACTGTACGAGGAGACGTTTCCACCCACCTGCAAAGGACCGTGTCCTTCTCAATGTCATCCGACGCGTAGTGCAAATAAACGCAATTAGAATTCCTGTGCGCATTTAAGGGCCCACCCTTAAACGACTGGTGCTTGTTCCTTTCATGGGTAGCATAAGAAACGATTTTATCATCTTGGAAAAAGGAGGACATTACACTTATGGCTGTGCCGTAGCAAAACAGAATTATCACGTCGTTGTAAATATACGTGTGTTCTTTGTAACCTGCAAAAAAAAAAAAAAAAACAAAAAAAAAAAAGTGATGAAGAACACATTCATTCGCAGATAGCTCTGAGGCGTTATCACTTCAGCTTCATGCACTGATGTATATCAGCCTGAACACAATCGCGTATGGACAGAAGCATTTCCCGCCATGTGCATTATCCCTCCACACGAGTGTGCATTGTATGTGTTACCCAAAATGACGTTGCAAGATAAAAACGTTGCATTCGATTTGATCTACGGGGTGGGGGTGGGAGGATGGAAGAGAAAGACGCGTCTGTGCATGTTACCTACTCATGGCTCTGTTAGAGGGCGTAATTTTGCTGGTTTGCTTA